ATACTTTTTGTGTTGTTAGATTTTTATCAAATTTCTCTAAGTCTATTTTTTTATAAGACTGAATTTGAATATAAAACATAAATGTTATTGATATGGGAAGTATAAGATGTTGTTAGGCTACCTAATTACGTAATAACTTAACACAGAAGCTAACTTAAGTAGCGACTGAAGCAATTAACCGACTTGGTATTACATGGCATTCACAGTAGAAGTTCTTTTTACGGTAGAAGAAATAGGTTGCAATACTTGTTTTTTTACAAGTTCACCAGCTTAGCGACCTTTGTTGGAACACTTGTCATATAAAGAAAACTTAATTACTAAGACCTGCTTCAATCATTTTCGTTGTACATAACCATATAGATTTTCAACAGGAATAATTTAATATTATCACACATTTTTACAATCTTCATTAAATTTATGACAGGAAGACTGCAAAAACAGTCAAGAAAGGCCCATGGTCAGCTTACATCTATTCATTATATATTTTTTCAAGAACAAAACTGGGTCATCATCTTTTATTTCAACAGTATCAAATAAAAAGTGATAAAGCCATCCTTCTCCTGGGCCTCGTTCCAAGTCTTTGATATAGAACATCTTATGAGGGTGGAGAGAGCAAGACATGGTAGCAATTGGAGGTTTATGGTCTCTGTCTACCCCTTTGACAAAATGGCGTATAAAATATATGACATATGTCTAAATACTGCCAGTTATACTTTTCTACGTAATCTAACCTTAAAACAGAGCGGGATACCGTTAGCTTTCCGTTGTATGCACATTTAATTTTAATCAAGACGCAATTTGTAGTAGCGTGCCCGTGACGTCATCGTACTAACTCATTGTGCTTCTAATGAGTTACCTGCCTTGTTTACCCGACGACTACGGCGAAATTAAATGCTCTTTAACTTCCTTGTAAATATTACGATATAAACTTTATTTTGATGACTTTACGTATATAAACTTTATCTTGAATATTTTATCGAGTAATTTTGTTGTATAATGAACTATTTAGTAAGTTACGTGTCTAGAAACGCAATGTAGAATTCAAAGAAATTAATTCTCATTAACAAATACATCGTTACGTGAGATTATTAATACAATATAAATACTATTGCAGACTGTTAATAATAATTAAATAAACTTAAACGCAAAGTTTCATAAAAGCATGCTTTTAGGCGAGAGATATCTTAGATGTACCTAAGAACTTGTAATAATTTAAAGTATATAATATATGTTCCATAAAGCCAAAGAAAACCTCAAAGTTAATTTTAAAATGCACAATTAAACAATTTAAACATCATAAATTTTAAAGGCACGCAAAACGAATAACCAAATAACAAGTAACTTTTAAAGATTAATTATTACAAATTTAAAATATATATTTATAAGATGAATGTAGGAGCAGTGTAGACGCTAGAGAGTGCGAGTCTCACCCCGTCGTAGGTTCGAACCCCGTTTTCCAATGGACTCTTCTGTCTAGGTGCTCATTTACTACTCGGCGTGCCTTAGACCCAAAAAGTCGGCGCCGTGTGTCCAATCTTGCCTGTTAGGAAAAGCAAATAATCACGAAACAGAGTCAGAAAAAATAAAGGCCATGACTGAGGATTGTAGCGCTTTAAATATAAGAATTGAAATGTGCCACTTTCAAGCATTAGTGCCCTTCGTATGACAATATTTAAAGACTAAAGTTAGTAACAGTATTCTGGAACTTCCAATAGGATGTCGTTCTTATAATATCTACAGCGTTGAAATCTTGGTACCACGCGGTAAAAAAACTCGAATGAAGTCAGAATCCCGTCACTATCGATATTCGGAGTAACGTGCTGATATTCAAACTTAAGCGCTAAGTGTGACTCCTGTAGTTCGCGCTAAGTTCTGTTTCAGAGTGTTAGCCACAGTCTTAAAGTTAAGTTCTTTCTTAGTTCTAATGAACGCATGGAACGTCTTTTTATTATAATGCATGTGGCACTATTTCTTGATTTAAATACGATTCTAATAATATTATTTTAAATATTTATTATCCATAAAAAGCTTGATAATATTGAATCTAAAAATTTAGAATACCTTTACAATTTTTTGTAATTTTGTCAAACGTATGGAAATAAAGGACAAAGTAATATTAAGCTTTTTGTGTGTTACACGAGAATTGAATATTGTTTTGACAATGAATTATCTAAATATTTGGAAAATATACCTTTATACTAACCTTCATTTTAAAAGCGTTCCATACCCCCAAGGGTATTTAAGTTATCAATCAATAAACCTCACTTTTTTCTTTTAAAAAGACCTATTTTCCGGCGAAACAATTATTGTTTCGGGTTGGTAGGCAAAAACACTGATATAATAAGTATACAGAAATGTTTCTCATGCTCCATTCCGGAGTTGCAGGATTTCAAAGAACGTTTTAACCCTACACCGAAACATACAAATAAGTATGCGAACTTACATACAATAGCAACAATACTATGTAAATAATAAATATAAATTTAATTGAGTAATATTCCGTCAATACATTCTGTAAGAAATATTTAAGACAGGACTAAAAAGTGTAAAATGTTTTAAGTTAGTCTTCATTCGGAATAATTAAATTAAATAAGTCTATCTTTATTTTTGACTTCAATAAGGCTATCAAAGTTTGCGTAGGTTCAAATACTTGGAGGTGGAAAACTAGTCAGACTGCTTCGAACCAAAGAATACTAAAATATATATTATTGTTTTTAAATCATTTATAAGGAATTTGATTAAATAATTCACAGTAGAACTCGGCGCTTAATGATATCCGATTATATCTGCGTTTTAAAATCAAAAACCCAACAAATAATCCGGTAATCCCATCAAAAGTAATAAAAACGGACAAAAACGTCGATCGTTCGTTCATTCGCAATTCATTTCGTTCATTCATTCATTCATTCATGATTTATTCGCCGTAATGCCGATATATGAGGCGATCGGCCGCCGCTATAAAATTTAAGCCCAGTCGCGCGGGAGGCCAATTTTCGCGCGAATGGTTCACGGTTGTTATTTTTCTACGGAATTAAAACTGAAATGTACACCATATGCTAAAATAAAGCTACAACGTCAACAATTAATTATATATTAACGTAGAGAGTGCTGTTGTAATGTTTTCATTGTATTATTTTCTTGTCTGAAAAACTATAATAATACACAGAAATCATAATTATAATATATTAAGTAAATAGACACACATAGAGTATGTGCACACGCACACATATAAACACATACGTATGCACATACACCAATACAATAGTATTTAGTAGGTCGTTCAAAGCAATTCTTTGATAATTATTATACTTTGGTTTAATTTGTATAAATCTGTTGGCTACCTAAATAAAATAAATAATTCATGGCATAAACATTGTTTCCTTTAAGATGTGAATTAAGACAAACTTTGGCCGTAACGGGATTTAACATCAAGTTTGGTGTTAAAATAGTACCTATTAGCTTTAAATAGCTTACACCGAGTTAATTCTTAAAAGGCAGGTCGTGTCATAAAAGTTTCCTGCACAACTTTGATACACCTTTTGAATTAGAAATCGATTTCCACCCCGTACTAGTATAGCTCATATATTTCCTTTTTTGACATTTAGCAATTAGCATTTATTGGTACTAGAGATTTTATATTGATTTAAGTTAGATTATAAGTCTTGAGATACTAACATAAAATATGACATAATAAATAATTTAATTTGCTTTTAATTAGATATGAATGAGCAATTTTTTTAAATTCATAATACCACTTTCAAGGCAAATAAAGGATTTATTATGTTTATTATAAATGGACCTCAGCCAGTAGGTATAATAATTTGTTTGGGAGATTTGAGTTTCAATTTTTTGTCGATTTGTATAAAATAATAATGTAACATAAATATTTGTTCCGTCTTTAGTACTTTTTTATAATTTTATTTTCGTAATTTGACGCAGCCGATGGCCAAGTCTAATGTTCAATCTCTTGGTTCGCTATCGCTATCGTTTCGGTATCGCTTGGTTAGAGGCACTAGCAGTTATTGTTTTAATATTTCTCAATTTTGATTTTAGTATCTATTAACTGCAGAATCTTATATCGTGAGTGTTTTGTGTTTATATATACCGCTGGAGCACTGTCAAATATGCCAATGTTCAAATATAAAAAATGATTTGACAGCTCTAGAAAGCATTATTGTCTTTGAGTGACGTTCTTGAAAACGGACCTATGATATTCCTTTGTTTTTTCGTCTCATTGAGGTTAGGATGCTGAGGAATGTATTGAGGGCTTAATACTTATTTTTAAAACACATTGTTTATCAACAGCACCGAACTGATGAACATATTAGATATGTAAGTAAGCTCGTAATAGTAAGTTCTTTTGCGCCATTTGCATTTTATACTTCGTGCACAGTTTGTGGTTATAGATAGAAAATATTAAATGATGACATATAGAAAGTATGAAATAATTCGAGTATTAATCCCTTTTTCGCTACATAAATTAGTATCCGACCACCGCGGTTGCCACACGTCGTAAAATTCGGCACTATTTAAATTATTAAACTGTAAACAATAATTATGAAAATGCCGTTTATTTACGACTTCACTGAGGATTACAGTTGACAGATGGGCACTTCGCTGTTTAATAACTTTTATAAAGGCTTAATTGTTATTTACTATTATGTGTGGTTTGGTGACGCAGCTGGTCTTGGGTACAACTGAGTTTCGGCTTGGCAGCGAAGACTGACATAAAAATGAATCTACCCCGTGCCCTGTTAGCGTTACCGCGATTAAAACACAAAAAACGGTGAATACACAAAGCCATTTAACTAAAGTTTGCAATAAGTCAGGTATAAAAATAAGTTCTGGTTCGGGATATAAATGCCTGGTTATTTATCGGTACCTAAACTGAATAGTATCTTTTACGACCACTTATTCATTGGAAAGGGCTAATTTTCTTTTATGAGTATTGAACAGGTCATATCAATTGAAGCGTAGTGGACTTTGTTCCAGTTTCCACGATGGAAGTGGAGGCCGTGGTGGGGAGGACGGGGTCGTTGCCCTGCGACATCGAGCCGGACTCGCACGAGGACAGGGTCTACATGGTGCTCTGGTTTCGCCACGCCGGTGGCAAACCGTTATACAGGTTAGTTGTCTATAGCATGCATTTTAGAGGGCGGAAACCCTTTAAGTTCAACAGGAGACGGAGAAGAATAACAGACGATGACCTCGCAATATGGTTCTGGGACCCAAACCTATTACTGTTTAAACTTTTATTAGGTTTATCACCTAGCACCAAGCATCATATACCTGTGTTGTTTGGTGCTATAGGCGGCATGTATTTCCACCTTTGCTATTCAAAAAGACTCGTTTAGAGGTTCCACAATAGTCTTATAAACAACTTTAGATCGCTTATCCAAGACTTAGCTTCCTAAAGCGTCCCTGGCGCGTTCTTGAAGCATTGATTTATTTTTACACTTTCGGCAGTACGGGCCGGCACTAGGCTAAGACAATTTTTTAACTTCCGCAGTGAATTTCTTCACCGTAATCAAGAGAAAGCTAGACTTTAGTTAAATATAAAATTTTACTACAATATATATATGAAGTCATGGATGAATTAAATGATGTTCAACTGATGTTGAATGGGATTTTGGGTAAAGGGAGTCTCAATAAGTATCACTTCTATATGTTTTTTATTTAACAGGGGGCAAACGGGTAGAATGCTCTCCTGATGTTAAGTGATATCCATAGAAACTCACATTGCCTGAGGATTCGCTAGTGCGACCTTATAAGAACCGGTACGCTCTTTTCTTGGAAGAGCCCTTGGAGTCAAATTGGTTCTGAAATACATTGGTGGTCAGCTAGTTCCACATAGTGGTAGTTAAAAATTAATAAAGAGAAAATTAAAACAAATTTAAAAAGTTTTGTCCCTATGGCAGTGTACCTTTAACGCTGGCAACATTTCCTCGCTGTATTGCGATACTTATTCGTTGAGCCAGGAAAGCACCAGCTCTGGGGTCACCGGTACTATATACCAGGCGGCAACTTAAATATTTAATTAGCGCCTGTGCACTTGAACCCCACGGCCCAAAAGTCTCTAATCCAAAGGGTACAAAATGGAAGTTGAAGGTATAACAACTAAGAAATATTTGACGTAAATAGTAAAAAAACATTGTAATTTGTACGTGTTACTTATTATCCTTAAATCTTATCGGAGAACTGTTAATGATGTGAATTTACGGTAATTAAGGCACGTTTTACAAGTCTATACAGAAATTAGTGAGGGCAAAAGGGGGGTGTATACACAATAACAATTAATCACAATTCGATTAACGATAACATCATTAATTATACGATCATTCGAACATAAAATCGATGGCCGAGTTTATATTTGCGAGGAACTTTAAAGTTTAATGTTCATAGTTTATTAACGTGATTTTAATTAAACTAATGTGTGTTTATATAGTAAAATAAAGTCCTGTTTGTAAAGTAATTTAAAAATAAATCAGGGGCGCTACAACCTTTTTAGTTCGGGCCTCAGATTTCTGTATCGGTTTCATGATCTTGTTATTAAATAAGTAGGTGATTAGCCTCCTCTGCCTGACACACGCCGTCGAATTGTCTGGGTCTAAGGCAAGCCAGAAGGTAAATATCGTGAGGGCTTTCCTCACGATATTTACCTTCTGGCGATGAATATCGAGCGAATGTTAAACGCGCACATAGAAATTACAATGTACAATGTACAGTAAAATGTACATTGATGCACAGCCGATCGAACCTACGACCTCTAGAATGAGAGTCGCACGCTGAAGCCACTAGGCTACCACTATTGGTAAAGTAAACGTTAATTAAAAAATATTATAGACAGGCGTAATCGGCCGGGCTTACCTAATGCTATGTAAGAACATCCGTCCATGGGCACATTGCCGGCAGGCACCCATCACTGAAGGCTATGCTAAGATTCACAGACAAGACTTAGTCTTAAGTGTGACCATACGTTACCGAAATACTGGAGTTATTCCTTATCATCGTGGATTTTGCTTGCTTGGCTTATAGCTCTGTCATCTGGGTTCAGTTCCCATAAAACGATTGTTAGGTGTCATCCCAGACACCGGTACACAGGAGACTTAGATTGCTCTAATAATACAAAGTCAAAGTCAAAAGTAAAAAAAATCATTTATTCATATAGGTAACACAATGTACACTTATGAACCTCAAAAAAGAAATATATATTGAATGCTTCTAATTTTACAGTTATCAAATCCAGAGCGTAGAACGAAAGAGAAGAAGTGGCAATAAACTCTCCGCCACTCGTTTTAATCGCCAAGTTTATTGTTTTACACAACGTTTGTAAGGAGCTGCAACCATTACACCATGTTCCAAATGATATCTTAAGTAATAAATAATAATAAAATAAATTAAAAACAAATATTTGTCCTCTATCAGCAGGAGACATGGTGAAATAGGAGCACGCACTTACATACTCGTGGGAACAACACGCAAATACATAGTCGAAATAACTAACATCACCGCATACACGAATTCAAGTACGACCAGTCACCACAAGTAGCACCCGTTCACGAGTATAACGCATGGCCAGCCATCGGCCCACTCGCCATATTTAAGGGATAGAGACAACCCGACGCGTGGACGCCGCCGCACGCAATACAACTACTTAGTATACCTATATAAAGGCTTCACTCAAACGAATAATGATATGTTAGCATGGTCACTTTAATAATAATAATATGTATTTGCTACTGAATCATACATAATATTCAACCTATGCATTCTATGTATACATTAAAAAGTCTTTTACACTCAATAGATTTTTTTAGTCCTACAAGTATAATAGATATTATTAAATACTTAATTGAAATCTTGTACTATATACGACTATATGATGACTTGTAGCAATACAGCTGAAGAGACGGTATAACATGTCCGAACTGACAGTCTTGAATGTATGGATATGACAAGTACAACACTGAACAAATTATAGGAATGAACGTAACTGAGACGAAATTTAAAGAAATAATGTTGGACAAAAGCTTAAGATGTCTCTTTCTAAAATTTGCTCTAAATATTATACAAAAATTAGTTAAAATAAATAAGTTTTTCATCTTCATAAGCTACTTAATGCCTCTGATGACAATATTAGAGAATTAGCTAAAGAATATATAAATTTAAAAAAAAGATAAACAGTACTCGTTCTGATCGCAATTTGTCGAAGAAATTTAGAACTCATTTATAAATTGAAAGATTATTTGTTTAAAAAAAACGGCTGAAAAAGCTAAAGCTTGCAAATGGGATCTAGGCTCCGGATATGATTTTGTCCCATTCGTCGACATCACAGGAGCCGGAAGAGCTGGCAGCTACCTCGGACAAAGAATTAGTCTAGCTATTGAAACTGGGAACGCTGCCAGTATAGTATCTTCGGAACCTTGCTTAAAGGGATTCCTTTTAATAATATATTTTAGTTATTATGTTATATTTATTAAGGTTTTTAAGCATGTTATTTTTATATAATGTCTAAATCATTGTATAACATTTTAAAGTAATGTATTAATTCTGTTTCTTTTCTTTAACATATGTATTTACTAATTCCAAGCTAGATTTGGAATCGCCTAGTGGCTTGTTTATCACCGTATCGTCTTTTATATATTTTTTGTTAATAATCTCCTTGCCTTAAAACGATCCAAAAAAATATTAAGATACTTAAGAATTTATTGATATCGACTAAATTCACATCATAATAAAATCATATAAAATTTACATTAATTCCGAAAGACCCTCCTGAGCAAATTGAAAGTAATTATGGTGAGGCAAACCTTGAAAGGTAAGCGTAGTATATTGCGGCAAAGGTAAAAAACTTTGATCTCGCGAATATTCGCTATTAAGGAGCGGCCGTCTCGATGTCGTGTGTACACATCGTTAGCTGTAGGGCTGCCGCAAACTAAATGATAATACAATTAAGGCGTACTACCAGGGTTTTCCAGTTTAATAAGGATTACCTAAAAAATGGTACGTTCGAATAATAAAATGATAGCTATATTAAGATTGTGTATTTTAATTCCCGTGATCTACACATATAAGTTGTGTATAATTTTCAATTGTAATAAACTAAATTAATTACCTATGACTTCATTCCTAGCCACTTATCATGAATTGTCATGTAGTGTCGAGCATAAAAATACACGGAGTACTGTCGTCACCCAACGCATTTGATGGCATCCAACGCAGGGCGGCTCGAACCGTCGACGACCCTGATTTTTCTCATCATAGGCTTTACCAACAAGCCTCCTTTGGCTTTGCGCAGAGATGTTGGTCCCTTCAAGATCTTCTACCGCATTTATCATGGGAAGTGCTCTAAAGCATTGTACGGACTGAACTCCATCGTCGGACGTCGAGGCAAAATGCGAAATTCCATTATTTCCACCTCGACGCCTGCCGTTCCACAACACAGTGCCTTTTGAGGTACTTTCTGTCGTGAACCATCTTATTGTAAACCAGCAATCAAGAATATTCTTAATCAAATTATGCGAATCTCAAAGGAAGGTGGGGAAGCTTAATATAACCGGGAACTATAGCTAGAGACACTGATGACCAGAGTCGTACTAAAAGAGGTGCCTAGAGATTGAAGATGAGAAGGGTCTTCAAGAAAAGACCGTACCGATTCTTAAAAGCCCACACGAGCCCTCTGTAAATGACAGGGGCCATGTGTGGCGGGATGACAACAAGTGATAACAAGTGAGTCAACTGATCCTCCTGACAGTTCAAGACAAGTTCTATAAAAAAAAGATGTTGGCAAATCTCACAAAGTCGACGACTTAATTTACAGAGGCTCACCGGTTGATGTACGAAAAAATTATAATATATTTATTTTATTAAATGGCAACCCTACCGAGGTTAACGAAGCGCTCCACAAAATGGATTATCGACAGCCAGCGACACACGCTCGACAAATGATCGGCTCTCGAGGAGCATGTTAAACCGCCACATATATCCTATCATTTAATCTAATTATTCTCTTGCTAAGGGCTAATTTGAATACACTCGTTATCAGAGAAAGAAGTTTATGACACTATTTTGACCATGAAGTCAATCCAGTTGGTGTGGATCAAAAGTGAGGAAAGCTGGTTTGTGGGCTTGTTCGTGATTAAACTCTTCCCAAACTAGATAAATTTTGATAATTTCTTTGTGTGTTCAAATGGATTTGAAAAATTTGATTGCAATCATCAAATCATCAGATTTTTCTTTAAGATAACAGTAGGTTTGTCTAGTTATAACATTACCCGAATACAGTGTAGGATTTTTAAGAATATCCGAAATCTGTTTTCAAGTATATGAAACGAAGCCTTTGTCGCCACATAAA